CTGTATTATTCTTATTTGTTTTGTGGTACCATACACATCTATGACTACATGTAGGGGTGCTTTATCGAGCGGTATATCTTTAGTGCATGGTCCTTGATCGACCCCATTGATTATAAAATGCATTTCACCTTTTGTTTCATCATATTCGGTGGGCACAAATACAACTCCAATACGTGAACCTTTGTCTGTTAACAAAATGCCAGGATTGCAATCACCACTGCCGCTTATATCGGCCACAGCGGGCCTTAGTAAACGTTTTGGTATCATGCCTCTTGGGGTACGTACATACATGGAATCACCTAAAATAGTGCCTGGAAGATAAAAAAGAAACAAATTAAAAATTTTGTCGCACTATCTTTCTATCTATCTATCTATATATCTATCTATCTATCTATCTATCTATCTATCTATCTATCTATCTATCTATCTATTCTATCTATCTATCTATCTATCTATCTATCTATCTATCTATCTATCTATCTATCTATCTATCTATCTATCTATCTATCTATCTATCTATCTATCTATCTATCTATCTATCTATCTATCTATCTATCTATCTATCTATCTATCTATCTATCTATCTATCTATCTATCTATCTATCTATCTATCTATCTATCTATCTATCTATCTATCTATCTATCTATCTATCTATCTATCTATCTATCTATCTATCTATCTATCTATCTATCTATCTATCTATCTATCTATCTATCTATCTATCTATCTATCTATCTATCTATCTATCTATCTATCTATCTATCTATCTATCTATCTATCTATCTATCTATCTATCTATCTATCTATCTATCTATCTATCTATCTATCTATCTATCTATCTATCTATCTATCTATCTATCTATCTATCTATCTATCTATCTATCTATCTATCTATCTATCTATCTATCTATCTATCTATCTATCTATCTATCTATCTATCTATCTATCTATCTATCTATCTATCTATCTATCTATCTATCTATCTATCTAATATATTACTTTCTATGTTAAATACAATATTTTACAAATATTCACCTTTATTGGTTACAGCTGAACTTGAACTGGCTTGCCCGTCACTTGTTGAGGCATTAGCAGCATCACTACTGCTACTGGCCCCTCCACCGCCTCCAAAATCGCCGGCATTTGAACGTGGTGCCAAAGCGTGCGATTCAAACTTAGATATAGGATAAATCCAGCAAGTACCCAGATTGGCCAAATCAGGCAGAGCAAATTGTGGCAAACCATCTTCCATAGTACCCAAAACATCTGGCACTAATTGCGTCAGACCCAAACGCATATGACCCGACCAGCCACGTTCGTTTTTCTCAATTTCCACCAGAAAAATCTCACCCATTTGCAAAGGTTTCTCTGAAAATGTAACTGCATCGGCAAAGCTGGCCTTGCGATAGGCCACTGTATTGTCATCGCACAATATAATATTAGCACCATGATAGGGATGAAATCGGGACAGTTGACGTTTTGATGTGGCTGGTGTATAATTTGTGCTGGCAACTACTGTATTACTGGCACCTCCACCAGCTCCTGCTGCAGCGGCTGCCTGTGATGTGGACGATGTAGTATCGTTGTTGATGGCATCAGCCATAGTTATAGAATTTGCGTTATCAATGTCTGCTACACTCATTTTGTTCTTTAATTTTGGAAATAGTTTTAAAAACTTTATTAAATTTGATTTAAAATCAATGTTCAACAAATAATATAACTAATGAAAGTTCTGTATATTTCTCCTTCTTCCTTTTCTTTTATTAATGTCTATTTTCTTTATTTTTTATTTTTATTTAGAACAAAACAAAATGAAAACAAAATTTTTTTGTATACATTTTAACAACACTAAAAAAAGTTTACAGCGCTGTATTCTTAATTGGAATTTTTATGTGTTGTACAACACTATTTATTTAACTGTTTGCAAATTTATTTTATTTATAATTCCCATTATCTTTTTCTTTGAATGAATAATTGTAAATAAAAAACTAATTGGAATTGGTAAACTGCTTTATCTTTAAAACACTGTATTATCTAAAAAACAGTATTGCCAGCAATAATTATTAAAATAATCATTCGTGTGCAGTAGCGTCTTTCTCAAATGCAACTCTGAGTTGGTAACAACGACTTTTTCATAAGTGTAAAAAGTCGCCTTTTTGTTTTTTCCTCTATACAACTCTACCGAACAGCTGTTGAATTAAACTTTCATAACGTTTTGGGAATACGGCAAAAAATATTACAAAATTTGGTTAATTTTTCCATATTTTCAATAATTAAGGTAATTTTTGAAAGAAATTTCAAATAAAATACAAAAGTTTCATAAAAACTCTATATTTTATTGTTTATATTCAACAGAATGCGTGTTCCCACTTGTGTTTATGCCGCTAAACATAAAGCTCGTGCCCCACAAAATGAGGCTGCTGTTCCCTTTCAGGAAATCTTACCTTTACGTTTGAAAAACTCGGTCAGTGGTAAAGCCGACTCGGGTTCTGATGTCGCCTGTCTACAAGAAATGACCGTATTATTTGCTTGTCTCAAGGAAAATGATTTCGTGGAGAAATTCTGTTCCAAAGAAATTTCACAATTCCAAAGATGTTACAAAGTTTATATGGATCGCAAGGCGGCTGCTAAGGAAACTATTAATCAAGGTATTGTAACACCTGGTAATAAATTAAATTATAAACAATTAAACAAATACATGAGACGGTATCCTAATCCTGAATAAACTAACGAGAACTAGTCCGCGAGTAATGATTTCCAAGAAGTCATATAAAGTTCATTGATTGAAAAGAAATTGTTATGTTGTCATTATATAGTTTAATAAATCAATTTGGTAAATTAAACAACAAAATGCCACCAGCTTGGTTATAGCGAAAACATAATCCATGTTTGTTCTTAATAATATATATGACTGCAAAGAAGTAATTCCAATTAGTAAGTCAAAATCATCAAAATTTAAAATACCAACAAACATATATTAACATAAATCTGATATGAAAGACAATTAACTTTTACAAAAAACAACATTTTTTTATAAAAGGTTTCTATAAAAAGGGAACAATATAGAGTCATGTTCGTTTATGATGAATATAATCAAAATATGTATGTAACAACGGTTTTCATAAATCTTGATTAAACAGTTTTGTGATCTATTGTCTCAGCAGCAGCACATACTTAAAAAGTACGTAATCAACCATTTCCAATTCTTTTGCATAAAATTTTATTGCCAAAATGGATTTAAAACAATTTTATTAAACTAATATATTTTTGCTTTATAGTCAATAAACTACATCAGCATCTCCTAAACCACCCGAAGAAGAACTACATCCGGGTGATGATTGACTTAAAACATTTAAATAACTATTCGTGTGTCTAGCAAGGCCAGAGCGTTGTTTCAGTTCAAAAAATTTTGCCAATAGAGTTTGTTTTTCTCTTTCCAACATGGCAATACGTTCACTCTTTAGGTGGCCCTCATTGGCCAATAAACGATTCTGTTGACGCAGACGATCAGAAATAGTTGTGCTAGCATTAGCATTTGTTCGATTCACGCTAGTTTTCGAGGGAGTTCTTATAGCCAAATTGAAATGGAAAGGAAAACCACCTCTTTCCCAGCATTCTGCTAGAGCAGAAAGACTTCTGTTAACTTCCAGCACCCGAGCCCTTTGGAAATTCAAACGTTCTTGCTGCACCTCCGACCATTGTTCCTTAGAATATTAAATATAAATTATTTTAATTTATTGCTCTTGTACAGAAATCATTTATAACTTACCACATTGGAAGATCCCATACGTCCCAGATATTTGATTTTCTCTTGTACATTAACTATTTGTTGCATATACCATTCTCTGGTTTTATCCACCGAATTCAAACCCAATAGTAAAACCTCTCTCTCCTCTTCATATTGTTTAAGACGCTTTAACATATTATAATCAATACCATTCTGTAAAGTATGTCTTCGTGGTTCTCTCCTCTTGGTTGTAGTTTTCTTTAAGGGCATATTTGTAATATTGCCACTATCAGTGGCCGAAGAAGAACCACCATCTGCACTACCTCGATAACCACATTGTTGTAAGAAATTGTTAGTATTTTGTTTTTCCTTTAGATCCAATTCATTGCGCATTACGCCCATTTGCCAATTTTGTAAAGCATTACGTATTTCCGCCTTATTAGAGGCACTTAAAATTCCCGTATTCGTGGACTTGGCATTTAAAGCGGAGGCTCTTGGTGGTTTGGGTGGGGGAGGCGGTGAATTGTAAGGATGGGCTGTTACTGTCAGCTCTCCTTCGGAATCGGGACTTAATTGTGGCAGACTTAATGCTCTATGTGATGTAGAAATATTGTGAGGTCTTACATTTGCCGACCAACGATTAGCGGGCAAAGGATTTTGTATATCTAAAACTGGCGCAGAGGGTGGTCTGGCTATCTTAACACTAGACTTATTCTTCCAAGCCCCACTGTTTGTAGTATTCGCTGTCTGGTTATTAACATTGTTATTTATTGTTTTTATTTGCACATTTTCACTTTGTTGAGCCTGGGCATGACTTTGATTGCGTAGCAAACATAATTTTAAACCAGCACAAAATCTCTCAAATGTCAATAGGCCACTAGGTGGTGTTACTTTGCGTAAAGATTCCATAACACCTCTAGGTAAACCTTTACTACCATCATCTTGCCATCCTTTTTCTATATCAATAAATTTTACATATCCTGTCTGTTGATCATCTAATATATCGAATAATGTTTTCATTGATTGTACAAATGCTTTGGGTAGTGCTTCGAGTGCACTGGCTGCTACTTGCTGTTGGCCCAGACAACCCATTGCATCATTATTTAGATTATTCATATTATTTTGTATATTTATCGTTTGATTGCTGTTTAATACTCCCATTACTATGTTAGTTTCGTTCGAACGAAGCATTTTAGGAAAGGTGTTTTAAAACTGTTAAAGAAAATATAAAAAGTTTACATTGAATGATTTAAAAAAAAGTTTAAAAGTATAACTTTTAATATACATAACTTTAATATTTCGTTTGTAACTGCCTAAAATATACCACATTAGCCACCTAAAGATAAGCTACAACCGGCGATGATTGATTTTAAATAATAAAATAACTTCTTATATCTAGGCTAGAGCTTTGTTTCAGTTCAAAAGATAGATAGATAGATAGATAGATAGATAGATAGATAGATAGATAGATAGATAGATAGATAGATAGATAGATAGATAGATAGATAGATAGATAGATAGATAGATAGATAGATAGATAGATAGATAGATAGATAGATAGATAGATAGATAGATAGATAGATAGATATATAGAAAGATAAATAGATAGATAGATAGATAGATAGATAGATAGATAGATAGATAGATAGATAGATAGATAGATAGATAGATAGATAGATAGATAGATAGATAGATAGATAGATAGATATAGATAGATAGATAGATAGATAGATAGATAGATAGATAGATAGATAGATAGATAGATAGATAGATAGATAGATAGATAGATAGATAGATAGATAGATAGATAGATAGATAGATAGATAGATAGATAGATAGATAGATAGATAGATAGATAGATAGATAGATAGATAGATAGATAGATAGATAGATAGATAGATAGATAGATAGATAGATAGATAGAACATATAGAATAGATAGACTAGATAGAATAGATAGAATATATAGAATAGATTGAATAGATAGATTTATAAAATAAGATCAATATGTGTATAAAACTACATTTCATGTAGGGTATGATATGGTCGAGCATGTCTGTCTATAATTTCTTGCTTATTTGTAAATGAAGAATAAATCTTAATTAATTCTGTTACAAAATTATGAATCCAAAATAATAAAATAACTTGTAAAAATACACAATTAATCAAAATAACTTGGCGTTATGTAAAGAATAAAATTTTCACACCAAATCTATTAAAAAATAAAGTTGCATTGTTTTTATTTATTTATTTTTTTTTTTTTTCAATTTCGCATTTTCCAACAAGTGAACTCAAAATAATTTTATTTATGTACGAGCCAACATCTCGTATGACTGACAGTTGGAAAAAAAATCTTTTGAAACAATAAACACAACAATGTTTAATTTATTTCTTAGCTCTTTTTATTTTATATATCTGTTAAGTATGTTTGTTATAAAATGTATGTCAAATTCCCACGCAAAGAAATGTCAGGCATAAAAAATACAAATTAACTTGAAATGGATTAACATAAAATTAATATTAATAATCATAATAATACAAAATGATAACTTTAAGCACGACATTCTTCTTTCTTTTTCTTGGTAAAGATAAAATACAAATCATTATGAAATGTTTTTTTTTTCTTTTTTTGAGATTTTAAAGAAAGTTTTGAAAATTTTAAAACAAAAAAAAAGTAAAGTTAGTTGATTATTTTAGAAGTCGTTTATTAATGATAAAAAATTTCAATAATTTTTCTTAATGCACTTGTAAATTGATAAATTCCTTTAAAAGAGCAGCAGTAAGTGCAGTGTAATAATATTTTGTTTTAAAAATTTACGAAAAAACATCAAACATGTTTGTTTAAAAAAACACTCATACACTCACACAGTTTTACAGTTTACAAAACAAAAGATTTAAGACACAAACCTGATTTGTTTTTTTCTTGCACAAATACTCAAACAAATTTATACTTGTTGTAGCTTGTTAGGTTTTGTTTTTGTTGTTGTTTTCTTTCAGTTATCGGTTGATGCTGTATGTACCAGAGTTACTGGTAGATTTTTTTCTTGTATGTTTTTCTGATTATTATTCATTGCATCAATATTTTAAACACATAATAATAGTTACAAGTATTATCAATTTTCTTGTTGTTTTTGTTGCTATTATTTAGTGTAATCAAGCATTAAATAATTATTTTTAAGTAATTCTATATTTGGCACGTGTGTATTGTTTATAATTTTTGTTTAAATAAAATATTTTTCTAAAAAAAAAGTAATTATTCAAACTGTTAACGTTTTTTTGATGCTGTTAACCTTCTTTTTTTTATTCTAAAAATAACTTTGAATGCGGTTATTTAGTCTTAAAAAGAATGTTATATATAAAACCTCAAAATAAACTTGTTAAAGGTTTTTATATTTGATTTTTCCTTCTTTACCTTTTAAAAGAACTCTACACACTACCCAGCGAGTAGCAAATAGTTGTTTATTAGTCTGTTACCGCCACTATGGAACGTTCAACTTTATCCATAACTATTTTTTTATACGTTAAGATTTGTTTTTTTTTTCAAATTGCAGTCTGGGTATAAAATTTTTTTGTTCAAAAAATGTTCTTGCTTTTTTTTTTTATTGACTAGTTATCTAGTTTTATAGGTTCCTTCCTAGTTGTTTGTTTTTAACGTACGTTTAAGTAAGACTGCTTGTTTGCCGCTTAATTGTATCTACTCGTATTAGTTGTTTTATTCACTGGTTGTTTAAGCATTATTTACGTGCGTTCTGCTTATTTGCTTTTTATGCACTAAACTCTGTTTTTGTTTTATTTTAATTTTTTTGTTGTTTATCATGTGTTTGAGCTTGGCTTAGTTACTTATTGGGGTTTTTTGTTTTTTTTTCGTAAAGAAGGTTGTGTTGTGGTTTGTTTATTTCTTTTAAATCTGAAACTCTATGAAGTATTTGCCAACATGTTTGATCATTTCTCTGTCCAACATGTTGTTATTGGGTTATAGAGCTATTTCACATTTGTATACTTGTTTTAGTCATACAGGGTGTTTATTCAAATCTCAGGAAAATGAGAAATAAGGAAAATGAATAGCTGCTAAATAAAGAAATTGACAATTTACAGCTACAGTTCACAAATAAGGGTTCTTTTCATCATTCCGTGGAATTCACAAGAAGAAAAAGGAACTTGTTTTGCGATTTTCTATATTTTCCTTAAAAAAAATTGATGACCGCTTGTAATTTAGTTAAAACTTTTTTAAATTGAAACAAGTAATAGTTCTATATTCGCCTTTACCGAATCTTAAATACCTTTCATTTTCATTCAATTAGGACACTGTGTGTTTAATTCTATGTTTCTAGGTAAAAAGTACCAATTGAAGAACGAAAAAGTACCAAAAACTTTACTCTTATAAATTCCATTAGGAATTGTGGACATTTAAGTCATATCTAGAAGGGGCTTTGTATAGGGGCTAGTGTCATATGAGACCCTATAATTCTAAAATTCATCAGTATCATCTAGGCTAGTATAGAACTTAGATTTGTAGCTTTTTGTCAAGATACGAGTATGTTAAACATAAATATGAACTTAAAAGCCCTATTAGGGAGGTTCAGTTGTATGGGAGCTAGGTGAAATAATGGACTGATGTTAACCATTTTCAATAAGCTTCGTCCCTGGGAAAATAGAAGATCATGTACCAAATTTCAATGAATTATCTTCAAAATTGCGACCTGTAGTTTGATTACAAGGTTTACAAGCCCTATTCGGGAGGTTCAGTTGTATAGGAGCTATGTGAAATAATGGAGCGATGTTAACCATTTTCAATAGGCTTCGTCCCTAGGACAATAGAAGATCATGTACCAAATTTTAATGAATTATCTTCAAAATTGCGACCTATAGTTTGATTACAAGGTTTACAAGCCCTATTCGGGAGGTTCAGTTGTATGGAAGCTAGATAAAATAATGCACCGATATTAACCATTTTCTGTAGTTTGATTACAAGGTTTACGTGGACGGATTGTCAGACGGACGGGCAGACATAGATAAGTCGACTCAAAAAATGATTCTAAGCCGATTGGTATACTTTAAGGTGGGTATAGGACCAATATTATTGTGCGTTACAAATATCAGCACAAACCCCATATGTACACTGCCCACTAAAGTGGTGTAAGGTATAAAAATTCAAAAAGTACCAAGGGAAGAATAAAAGGTACCAAAAAATTTTACCTTGTAGATTTTCATTACATAAGGTTGTCTTGAATTTTTGCTCATTTCTCCGTTATTTATGGACCGATTTTGCTGCATTAATAAAAGAAAATTTCTCGAAAGTATGCCTGACAGAAAGTTGGAAGATTTAGATGCCTAAGTTATCTGGGATCTCCGTAAAATAGATTTCAACGAAAAAACAGATGGACAGACATAGCTTAATCGATATCGCTATCTATAAGAATCCGCAATATATATTCTTTATGAGATCGCGTAGGAAATATAATCAAATTTAATTTTAAAATTACGGCCTGTAGTTTGATTGCAAGGTGTGGACGGAGACTCCATTGAACCCTGATGTCGTGTGAACGCGGTGGCTGAATGTCTGCAACTGCTAAAAATCTCATTTCAATCAACAGCGAGCTCTACAGTGCCATGATTACCGACTTTTGATGAGATGAAATAGAAGATGAGATGAAATAAAGATAATCTGTTGGATCCTATCGCATAGTTCAACAAAAATCTAACTTTTGTGGACCAATTTCTATAATTTTGTTGTCACCCGTCTTAATTATGTCAATTGATTGCCTAAAAGCGCGATTTGACTCCTTTAGGCATTTACCGTTACAAAGCTAAGTAAATAACCTTGAAACGATCCACACACCCTTAAGGCTAATATCGCCGTCCTAGCCGTTCTTGAGATAGAACTAGAAAACATCAGTAAAACCAGGGAAATTTGGACTGACGGCCGGGTCAGCCATTTCAATGAAATTGTGTTTCATGTCCTTCCCCACCAGTTTGTAAATAATTTTGACCAGGTGACCAAACAATATCGTAATGATTAAATATTATGATTTCATGGCTGACCGCATATGTTGTTGTTGATGTAACTGTATCGCTGTTGTTGGAAGTTCTTCACTTCGAAAAAACTTACGATTGATACAGCTGTTGCAGAACTAACAATATTTCGCCGTTTGGGAATCGGATCGTTACGGAGTAGAGATCCAATTGTCTTGTGAACGTAGCTTTGGTGTTGTTATTGTTGTATCAGTTACACGTATAAAGTTGGTGTGGCTGAGTTGACAATCCTTGGTTGTTGTTCGTTGAACTCCGAATCGTTCCGGTACGAAGAACCAATTATCGGGGGAACGTAGTTTTGGTGTCAATTCGACTGGTTAGCCGGGCTTCACATATCATCTCGAGTTATAGCAATTGCTCCATTTTTTCATTGCTCGGTCAGGCAAAATCTTGTTTCTATTTCTATAGACTTTAATTCGTATGTTATCCAATATAGGTGAAAGATACATTTTGGAAACTTTTTATAAAAAAGAAATAAATTTTCGAAAATTTTCTAAAAATAACAGACTTTTTTCAAAAATTTCTAATTTGAATTTGAAACGCACAAATCATCTGATATAACACATTCACCATAAGTTTCGGTGAGTAAACAAAGTGTTTAAAAGGTGACAATTTTGAATCAATGGTCTCAACGCCTAAATAGAATGAGATTCATAAGTTTTCGAACTAATTCTGGAACTGATACAAATTCTTGAATTATTATTGAATACAAATCAAATTTTATAGTATTTATTTCAAATTATTTTAATAACTATTTCGGTTATAGTAATGTTTAAACCATTATAAACCGTATAAACATACAAAGATATAATTAAACTAAAGAAAAGTAAAAATCAGTCACATTAAGAAAAGTAGAAGATTAAAATATATAATTGAATAATCTTGAAAATAAGTTAATAAATTTAATAGGAGTTTTATATAAATATAAATGGGAGTTGTTGTTTAAATATTATAATAATTTCTGTTTATGATTTAATATCAAATGATTTTTCCATTCAATTCACTCATGAGCATTGATTTCTAAATCAGCTAAACGAAATTCAGACTCTTGAGAATCCTTTTTTTTATAAAATCATATTGAAGTTAATATTTTCGAGAATATTTCATCCGAAAGGATTCTAAGAATGTAAATTTCATTATAAGAAAACTTAAAATTAATTGTATGTAAACTAAAACTAATAGAAATATGTTTTTTTAAATTAAAAATTAAGCAAGGAATTGGCGTAGTTTTGTTTAAATTAACTCAAAATCCTGTCTCTTCGAACACAACTCCTTACAAATCGGCTACCGACTTTCTGCGCACATATTTGGCAAAGTAATCGGGACGCCAACATTTACAGGAACCGGGAATTAGGAACCAATCATAATACAAACGTACTTGGAAACAACCAATCTCATCATGACCATCACAATGTTGACTAAAGTCACCCGAAGCATTAGCACCACCATGACTGGTGCCATCGGAAGCGGTGGCTACACCAGCACGTTTTTGTAAATATTGTTGATAAGCTTGAAAATCTTGTACCGAAGGAGCTGGTGTAGTAGTCGATGACTGTGGTACAGTATCTTCGGCATTAGGATAAAAGATTTCTGCTACCAAAAGACTAACCCAACGGGGTGATGATAAACAGCCACCATCTAAATAATGACAACGGGCCTGTATGCAACGTGTTACCTCCACTGTCTGAGTGAAATAACCTTCGTAGGGTATTTGCACCACATAACGCCAGGAACCTTGATAATTTTTAGCAAATACAGGTGTGGCATATTCTACTTTAGCGGGACAGGGTGTGGGTGGACCTTCATAACGTATAGGACCAATTTCTTCACGTCTTTCAGCTGTCAAAGGAGCTGCCTGGGGCGTAGATGTTTCACCTTGTATGGCCTTGTAGATGGTACAGAATCTGCAAAAAAAGTTCTATTAGTTTTGAAATTCCGAATTCCCTGTTTTTATTTTAATACTTACAAACCACCACCATCACAAAATTTACGTGGTTTACGTTCTTCGGCTTCTTTTTGTTGCTTTTGAGAACGTTCTTCCTCATCTATGGCGGGATCAAAATAACCATAATTATGTGATTCTCCCTTAGCTTGCACTTTAGGAGCAACAGCTTCTCTTTTAGTTCTAACCGCATAATGACGATCAATATTATTATTATCTACCGGTTCAACAGGATCATCACGTATTATTTGTGTCACTTTAGGTAAAGTATCATCTGCTTTTAATACCGGCAAAGTTTTAGATAAAAATTTCAAAGTATGATTACGTATCAATTCACTGCAATTAGAAAATTTTAAAAAATAAACTTGAAAAAATTTAAAAAAATAATCAAAGATTTAAACTTACAATGGATAGGGTTCTCCTAAAACATTTTGTCTCAAGGGATTCTTGGGTATTTGTCCCTTATTCAAATCACCACATATGTTATTAACAGAAACAGCTGATTTTTTGCCACTAGCTACATTTTTACAATCAACATTGACATGTGTATAAGGGGGTGGTCTCACTTTGGGTGGTATGGCATTGGGTGATTCCACAAAGGCATAATAACCTTCTGGTGGCTCTTCGCCATAATCATTTTGAGCCTGTGCTGTCACCAGCAGCGAGAGCAGAAGAAATGAAAGTATTTTCTGTAAAAAATATAATTAATCTTTAGTCAAACTATTAACAAGTTTAAATTATTTAATATTTATTCAATATATTAAAAAATAAAAGATGTTTTTTAGGGCCTTTTCATCT